GGCATGAAGTGGGGCAACGAGGCCATCGCGGGGTACTCTCAGTACTTCCACCTGGCCGCTTGGCTCATCCCGTCCATGAAGTCCATCGCCGTGCTCGCGCTGAGCTCGGTGGACGGCGACCCGGTTGCAGGGATCTGCTATGTGGGCAACCAGAACTTGGACAACCTGCGGGGCTTCGTGTTGGCGCCGCTAGTGATCTACCTGTTCATCGGCACCATGTTCCTTTTGGCTGGATTTGTGTCGCTCTTTAGAATCAGAAGTGTCATTAAGCAAGGTGGCACTAAAACTGACAAACTGGAGAAGCTGATGATCCGAATCGGGATCTTCACGGTGCTCTACACGGTTCCCGCCACCATCATCGTGGCGTGTTACTTCTACGAGCAGCATAACAGACAGAGTTGGGAGATCACACACAACTGCTCGTGTTTATTAGAGCAGGAGATAAAGAGGCCGGACTATGCCGTCTTCATGCTCAAATACTTTATGTGCCTTCTGGTGGGCATCACCTCTGGAGTTTGGACCTGGTCCGGGAAGACCCTGGAGTCCTGGAGGAGTTTCTGCACGCGCTGCTGCTGGGGCAGCAAGGGCTCCGGTGGCTCCATGTATAGTGACGTCAGCACGGGATTAACGTGGAGGTCCGGTACCGCCAGCTCAGTGTCGTGCCCCAAACAGATGCCTTTGTCCCAGGTCTGAAACAAGAAAACCCTATTAATTGTTTGGGGGGTCTCTTAGCCTTTCAGTCATTTGCATACAAATGAACTTGTTGATGGTTTCTATTAGCTGAAGAACCGGTTGAAACAATGCAGAAACAATAGCGTTTCGCTAATTCCATTCTATTGATATGGACATGACATGCAATCAGTCATTCTTAAGGAGAATTTGGGCATTATTGTTCCTAGTGGAGTAACACACGTCCCCAACTTGCAGCATTTGTCTCCTTTACACTCTTTTTTTTTTTCAAGATTTACGCATTTCAATTAATAGTAAAATTCCATCCAATTGAAATATTCCTTACATGCTATTCACATTGTGAAGTAAGAATTAGTAAAAACTAGAGTTTAATAAAACATTTATACTAAAGTATAATTCTTAATGGGACATTTAGGCTAGTTTATGTGATATTCACAAATAAAATATGCTAAGCTCAAATTTTTTTACTCATTTAAAATTCTTCATAATATGAATAATATGTAAGGACTGTTCAATTCGATGGGATCTTACTAAGAATTGAAATGAAAATCTTGAAAAAAAGGCTTAATATTTTTTTGGAGTGTACTTTTACACGTTGTTGTAAGACAAGTTTTGAATTGTCTGAACAATCAAAGATGGTTTAAATAAGCCTTAATGTCTTAGTGCCCAATTGTTATTGTTGTTATTGTTATTATATACGGGTTTTTTTTTTTTTTTTTTTTTTTAAGAAAATGCGAAATGTATTTATACAAACTTGTAAATGGTGTATAAAAGAAGATTTATAAATTTATTGTACATTTGTATATAGTGTAGATGCCACATGAAAAGCAAATATGACTTTTATTTTGACAATAAAAACTTTGAGGAATCTGTGTTTCTGGAGTAATGAGTGCTCCGCATCTCTGCTTGCTCTTTGTGGTCATTCCCATTGAAGATGCTTTTGTGGAGAAACTCTTTTAGCTATATCTGAGGCCTAATTAGAGACAAGGGCCCTGTGCTGGAGAATCTCCGTAATTGTTGAACCCTTGCTACTTAATTTACTAAAAGAGGGCCGGGGACCGGGGGTTTAAATGCAGGAAACCGGGCCTTTTCATCTGGGGAAACTTTGATCTTTCTTTTAAAGTCTAGAATAAAGGTGCCATGTAGATAGAACCTTTAGACTGATGCGCCAAGATTTTTCATGTCTAATTTGAGACCGTTGTCCTTTGATCGACGTTATAGAAATGATTTGAAGCTCGGGGCCCCAGCCATGTTTTGTTAGAGAGAACCTGTGACGGTTTAATTTTATTTAACACTATCAAAACGTCCTTTTTGAACTTCAGCTGTGGTATTAATGGTAGTTAGACTCACAGGGACGGTGAATGGAAACCTACAGGTGGTCCCTTGCGTAATCCACGGCCCCTTTTTGTGGAGTGGAGTTTCTTAGACAAAGAATGACACAGAAAGTGTTGTAAAATGAAATGGTTTGTTTTGAGTCCTTTTTATATAATGTAACTTGGAATGTTTTATTTCTCTGTATTTTTAGCGAAATGTAAAAGGGTTGGTAACCAGTTTAATCAACTTCTCTAACTCGTTTCATACTCAGCCTAGCTCCAAGGCAATAGTGCTTATGCTAAATCATTTACTTAATTAGACTCTAATGCAACGATCTATGATCTAAAATCCTATGGCCTTTATGAAAGTCAGTAAATAGTGAGGAGTGTTTAGTTCAGACATGTCATAATGGTCTGGTTTCACAGACAGGGCTTAGATTAAGCCAGGATTAGGCCTTAGTTCAATTAGGATATTTAAGAAGCTTTTATAAACATGTTTTAGAAAAACCACATTACTGGTGTGCATCTTGAGGCAAACCGATGGCACTGACATGTTTTAAGATCTATATGTTTTCAGAACAGCTCAAACATGCAATTCAGTCTGGGACTAGTTTAAACCTTGTCTGTGAAACCAGGGGTTAGTGTTGCAAGATCCTTTCCCATTTCTGTTCGCACTTTGTTTAAAAACTTGATTATTTCCATCTTTACCTTTACACAAACAGAACAAACATTTTGTTGCATTCATGAAACTTCAAAAAGAGAAGGTAAGAAATTATGGAAACCGGTGTAAGGTTGTCGTTCATAAAAAACAAGACATGGTTAGAAAGCAAAGTACAATATTTGAAAAACAATCTGAGTGCGTTCCTGTAAATCTTCTGACAACATTAACGACTTATTTTGATGTACTGTGTCTCCACCTAGCGGCCAATGTGAAGAATCACCCAAAAATGAAAATTGTCATCATTTACGCACAAAGTTGTTCCAAACCTGTATGAATGTCTTTCTTCTGCTGAAAGAAGAACATTTTGAAGAATGTTGGTAACCAGATATGCGCTGCGGGTCCCCATTGACTTATGTAGCATTTTCTTTGTCTGCTATAGAAGTCGACGAGGACCAGCAACTGTTTAATTACCAACATTCTTTAAAATTTATTATTTTTTCTTCAGCAGAAGACATAAATGTATAGAGGTTTGGAACAACTTTATGGTGAGAAAATGATGACAACATTTTCATTTTTGGGTGATCGAACTACCCCTTTAAGTTGCAATTTGTATCGTCTTAAATTAAGTAGTGTAACTACACATTATCAGAAGATTTCTTAAGTTACACGTAGCAGTTAGTTCGAGGCTGTAAGTGCTAAAGATATGTACAATTCTACACATCCGAGAGCAATACGGAACATTACGTGCATTGCGTGTGTGTTCTGTGTGAAAACCGTGGAAATGTTTAAGCGTTAACTTTTACAGATAAATGAATGAATCAAATCTTCTGATCATATTTCAATGTAAATGTGTCGCTGACAGAACATAAAAAGTTAGCTATGGGAAAGTGTTGAAAAGTTATATTAAAGAAGGCCTATGCCTAATATTCTGTCCTCACGAGCATTATTTAGCCTAGGCTACTTTTAATTATTGTGGCGAGTTTATCAATATAGTAAAACCATGAGACTACAACCATTTGTAGTAGAATGTGTTAACAGTTCGCTTTACAGACAGAATAAAACCATTGAGAGGCAAATCTTGCCTACGAGAAAGCGTTGGCGCTCAGAAAGTCAAACCCTCAGAAGTTCAATCTCAGGCCGCTTTTACCAAATTGGTGACATTTTAAACCAAATATAACATCTTTAAAATGTTAATGCAAAGATTGTTATGTGACATGCAAATACAATTTCGACCCATATAATTGACTAATTCTATTAAATCAATCAATAAAAGTAAAACGGTCAACGATTTTTCGGAAACGACCGTGATTTGTCTTTACTCTATAGCGCTGAGAAAAGAAACAGATAACACGCGACGACACCGTCGCGCTGCCACAGCAGATGTCTGAATTTATACCTGAATAATGTGTCTTCAAATCTTTAATAGAGATTTAATTGATAATCCTCAGGGAAAAGTTAAAACAATAAAAGTATTATTTAACACAGCCGTACCTGACCGTACCTGCAGTAAAGACAACTTCCGGGGCGCTAGATAACGCCCATTTTAGATCCTGGCTGCTTTCAATTCTAGTTAAACCTTTTAAAAAAAGAATTGAAGCCAATGGAGTGCATTACCAACTCCTGCCAGCAGAGGGCAGTAAGTCTCAGTGAGAGCAGTAACAGTGGAAGCTCCACACATGGGTGACAGTCAAGTTCTTTGGTTTCAAACCAATTTAGGACAAGATTTCACCTTTAATGTCATATCAAGAACAAACTCCAAAAACAACCTTCCTTTTTCTCTCTTTGAAAAAAAAAAAACCAACACGTTGTGCAATACAATGCATGAATGCGGTGACAATATCATAACAGCCATTAGAGGGCAATTCTCACACATCATATTTAAAAAATGCCAAGAATTGGCAAATTGCAACAACCACAACAACAAAAGTTTTCAAAAAGCCTCAAGGATGTGAGTTTACATCACATAATTGTCGTAGTCCTAAACACATTTAGCTTCCCCTGTTGATAATGTAATGCAATAAATTGCTGTAAAAGGTAAATTATATTTTATAATGTTACAGTATAGTTTTCAAAAAGCCTCAAGGATGTGAGTTTACATGCTGGACATATCACATAATTGTTGTAGTCCTTATAAACACATTTAGCTTCCCCTGTTGAAGGTAAATAATATGTTCTAATGTTACAGTATAGTTTTAGCTTGTTACAATAGGCCCATGGATACATGCAAGCAGTTCATTTATACATTTGATTTATTCCCTGAGTCTACTTTATTCCCTGAGTGTACTTTTGAAGCTGTCCATAATGCCTAGCTAGCAGCATCAGTGGTGTATAAGGAAACATAAATAGACAGGTCTCTGGTGTGTTTAATAAGACACATGACTAACATTGTGAGGACAGAAGGACTGCGGTCTAGGTGACTGTCCAAAGCTAACACGTCCAATCGTTTGCATGTTGCGGCTAGCTTCTGAGAGTCTGAAATGCGTGCATTGTCTTGCTCTCGTGTTACACCAGATTATGGAGCTCTATTTTAAATGTTTGTTCTAAAGCTCCAAACCAAAGTCCACCGGGTCCTTGAAATAGTTTTACAAGCTACCTCCTTAAATACAAAAGCAGTCTGGGCAGTAATTGCTTTCTGATGGGGTGCTGTTGATTGAGACTTGACAGTCCCTGAGATTTTGCAGGCTAGAGGATTTTGGAGGCCCTTTAAAGCAGGTAGCACCTTCGTACCCTCAGGGTTGTTCTTTTTTGGTGGCCACCCCAGTTGAAGCAGAAAGTATGTCAGTCTTAGCTTTTCATCCTCACAGATCTTGGGTGGTTGCAACCGGCCTGTTTTTAGAATGGCCTTAGCTGTCCCCTGATTGTAGCAGGGTCAAGGCAGGTCAAGGCTCGTCTGGTTGGTGAAAGAAAGAGCTAACACAAACATAAGAGAGGCAGGTGGATGCGGATAGACGTAGTTGATCCAATGGTTGGCATGTATCCATGACGTTGACATCTTCTAATAATACCTCACATTTCACCGTGCTTCTACAAGCAATTTATTCCAGTCAAGTTCCAAACAACTTTTCTTTGCAACTTACGTGCGTTTGAAATGCCACTTCAGAACTTACAATGTATGAGAATACACGCTAAAAATGCCAGAAGCCAAATTCATATGGATAGTCTTCTGGAGTAACAGTCAAACCCACTCTGACCTCTTCTCTTGGCCATCTCCACTGCAAGTCGGTATGTCTTCACCAGTAGTCATTTCTACCAGAGTATATTGCCCTACTCTTCTGGTACACACCGCGGTTGCTCCCGAGACATCAATTGCACCTTGAGCAGCTAGTTTGTCCCTTCGTGGAGGGGGCGGAGGTTTGAGACGACTGTGTTTGCTAACTCGGATGGTTTTAGGACTTCCCAAAGGCTCAGTGGGGTACAGTGCCACTTCACTGCCCTCTCTTACCATCCCCTCTTCTTGGGTGGGTTGGTAGCTGCTGCTATCATCATTGTTGTTGGAACCAGGCATTCCAGAAATTGTAGACATTCCTCCAAGAGGTAAGGGTGGTGGAGGGTCGTCCTCCAAAAGCACAGAAGCAGCTTCATCGCCACTCGAGTTTCTGGTCCCTCTTTTGCGGAACCCTCCCGGTCCCTTCATGTCTTGAGTTGGCGGGATGCTGACATCCACACCTTGATTCCCATTCCCTGACAAGTAGTACTGCTCCTCTGCGTACATCTTCTCCACCAGCATCTTTCTTTTGCTTTTTTGCCTCAAGGAGCGCTTGATGGCACAGATAAAGTCGCACATGTTTAGCAGCAAGGACAAAGCAGCTGCCCCCAACATGAAGTTCAGCAGGATGGTTTTCTCAGTGGGTCTAGAGATGTAGCAGTCCACTGTGGTTGTGCAGGGTGTCTGCTGACACATGAAGCGTCTGGGGATGTGGAAGCCAAACAAGTAATAATGGGCAGCTCCAAATCCAGCTTCTACAAGTATCCGAAGCAACAGATGCAAGATGTAGGCTCCTGTGAAGTACTGCACTCGCCCCTTCTCAGCCTTCACAACGGTCTTGCAAAGAGATGCTTTCCCGAACGATTCTTGATAGTCTGCTTTTATGGACTCAGAAGGTCCGCTATCAGCAGCTATGCCAGAACTCACTTTGTGGATCACATAGATGACAAACATCATGTAGGGAAGGCACAGGGTGGTGAGCTGCACCAGCCAGAATCGGAAAAGGGAAAGAGGGGCAAATATGTCATAGCACACATTGGCACAACCAGGCTGAATGGTGTTACACACAAATCGCTCCTGCTCATCCTGGTAGAGGGGATAACCAGCAAACAGCAAAACAGGGATCCTTAGGAATACCACCAGGATGAGCCATGTTTTCCCTAAGGAAAGAAAGAGAGCAGATCTTAACCTAGTTGAAACAGATCTTATTATGAAATAAACTATAATGTTTATTTTTAAATTGGTCTGGAAATTGACTTAATGTTGTTTAACTGTCAATATATAAGATATGCCTCAATAGTTTTAGAGTATATGTAGCAGAACACTGGCATGATCATATCAATTTTGTGCTTGATATTCAGCGGATATTGTTTTTGATGTTATGGCTTTGCCTAAATACTTTTTACAATATTACATCTACGTTAAAGCGATTTCGTCACTTTACAGAAATTTTAGAGAAGATTTATACAAGTAAATCATCTTGGGTTGCACTTTATTTTACAGTACGCGCACTTACAGTACTGGTAATATAAGGTAACTACATGGGTTAAAGTTAGGTTTACGGGTAGTTTCAGGGTCAGTTGCTAGTTATTACCCAGGTATAACTATAATAACTACATCGTATGTACATGGAGAAGAGGATTGTAAAATAAAGTGTTGCTTCATCTTTATTTTGCATTATGCATAACCTGTCAAAACTCTGTAAATACTAAACAATGATACAATGGCCCCAAAAAGTATTTGGGCAGTTCAGAATGCATAAATATAATTCCATGAGATACAAAATAAATTCATTAATAAATAAACAAACTGCCAACAAATTAGCTGTTAAATGAAGGAACTGGTGTCAAGGTGATTCTCAGTGGATGAAGTCAGGTGTAGTTTATCACATTTATTACCAACATCCACTAATGTTTGACAACCAGCAAGTGTCCAAATACTTATCTTCAAACATATATCTATTGTTTTATCAATTTAAAATCGAACAAACTTTTGTGCATGTAAAAAATGTGCTATCTTTAAAATGAATGGTGGTTCTTGAAATCAAATGCAATAACATTCAGACATCGATGGTGTGGTTTAAATGAACGAATACTTTCTGGAGCTTCTGTATAAATGCGTTTTAAAATAGTAAAAGTGTACACATACCTGTGAGGGTGATGTTGTGGTTCAGTGTTATGAATATCATGCCTGATGCAGCCAGTTTAGCCATGCAAGCAGATGTATGCCTCCAAACCACAGAGTATACCACAGAATATCTCGCTGGTCAAAGAACAGCCCACTTGATTCCACACAAGAAAAAGAGTTTTACAGACTGTATTAAACTCAGTCCAAGCAGGCATTAAAAATAAACCCCATTTACAAGCACTCAAAATCCTGTTCAGGTACTTTTATACCAGGTCCGGTGTAATCCGCAACGGCAAGACTCACGAGTGACCACCAACTTGGCTTCCTATACCTCTTCCTCCGTCCTGAGAACAACTGTTCTCAGACAACAGAAGACGAGAGATGTGAGCTCCATTGTGGGGCTATTCTTACCCACCAAAGGCATGTCGGCACGCAGGCCTTGCTGTGATATTTGGGCTCTTGTTCGTCCTTACAGGAGAATAACTAACTGCATCAGGCATCAAATAACCCGTATTAAATCCTCATGTACGATGGAAAGTATTTCAATGCCGGTTCATAGAGGGTCTTGAGTGGCATAATCCTTAGGAAAGACTTTTTGGTGTTGACATGAGTTTTATTTTGGTGCATTTGTTTGATATTAAGATAAAGGCATTTACATAACTGTAAGTGTTTTGTTGGGTGTTGAGATCACGCAGCAAATTGAATGGTTTCCCTTTATTTTGATGTTCCCTTTAACACATTCTGTTGACTATATGTAACGCTGAACCTACAGGTCTACTAACTCTCATTAGAGTGTTAATTGAGTATTGGTAGACTGTTAGGGTTAGTGTTAGAATAAGTTGACATGCATGTAGTTGCAAAGTTACTTTGTCGACAGAATGTTCAAAAGAGACCATCAAAATAAAGTGTTACCAATTTAATTTTAAAAGTTTTAATCTGAAAGCTATGAGGTCCTTTTTGGTTGGCTTCTGTTAGCGATGCGCTAGGTTGTTATTATACGTTATTAAAAAGAAGCCCCTCTTTAGCTCTGTCCTTGAGGTGTTTGACATGACTGGATGCCTTAGGATCATAGTAGATCAAGATGGAATCTCTAGAAGCTTTTAGACCTCTCTAAATGACCTCTGAATAAGGAACATCTAGACAGAGCTTTTGCTTTAGAACTTGTGTTCTAATGAATGGAGACTTATAGATACACAAATTATATATTGGCAGCTGCTAGTGAACACTTAGTGTAAAACATGTTTTGGAGGCATTGAGGGAAGTTGTAGTGGACCCAAGTCTGTAAGTTTATATATAATGTTATTCATTGACAAGTTTATTAAAGGCTGTTTTGCATCGTACTTTCTTGGGTTCTGCTTAAATATTATTATTAATCTGTCTTGGGGAATCACGTGGGGAGATTATTTCTTTTTTTGGAATGTGAATAATTACACTAGGAGTACAGCAAATTGCATCCTGTTTGAAAAGTGGTAGGCGAACAACAGTTTAATGTTATGCCTGCATGGAAAATACAATGCAAATCATTCAGCATTTGCAAGTCTAACCAAATTTGTTCTTTTCAACACACGAATACATTTTCCACATTTGTGGTGATTGACAATTCAGAACAGATGACTGTTAATACAGCCTTAAATATTTCAATAATTTCTTCTTTCTGGCCTCTGTATCTCTGTTATTAGATTAGCTGGCCAGCTCTGAGATAAAGGTCCATTTTAAGGCAACTAGCAATGGTGTAGTTCACCAGGGACACATTTAGAGGCGCAAAGCCAAAGACTTAGGATGGAAATGAATAGACCATATGCTAAGTACAGAATGACCTGCCTGTATTATAGCTAATACATTATTTTTGGACATTGAACTATTTATTTCATATAATTCAGTTAATGCAATGTATGGCTATATATGACTGGTTTCTAGGGAAATTGCATCGATTAGGCTTTATAGCTCTAACGTTCCATTTTTTTAAAGCAATGAACTGTATTTTATTCATTCCAGCATGTGAACGCCGTCAGCGTTAATCACAGGTTCGCGTTTAAAGTCTGATCATTTCGACGGAGGTGAATCAATCAAAGTTAACTTTAGCTGGAAGTAACATTATTCAAGAACCGCTATAACGCCAAAACAATCTGTTACCTTAAATTATATGTTTATCTCTGTAAAGCTGCTTTGAAACAATTCATTGTTAAAAGCGCTATATAAATGAAGATGACTTGACTTGACATAGTATTTATTGAATAATAATAATAATACAACACTTTGATTTCTATATGGTACCTCTTTTAACACTGATCCAGACCCATAGATATCCAAAATAAAGGCTAGATGTCTTACGGGGGAGTCTCTATCATCATCATCACCGGCGGCCATCTTGTCACAGGCAAGATTTCTGGCGGGCTCTGTGGTGCCTGATGTAAGATGAGTGATCAGCACGAACACAAATACTTTTATCTCGTTGAAATCTTGACGGATTTACAAACGGTTTGGTTTCTTACAAACGTTATTAACGTGGCTATAATTCTGGATGATAATTTATTTATACGCTTATTAGTCATAAGTATGCAGTGTCATAACTACATCTCTGACGTTTATAACAAACCAAACCGTTTGAAAATCGGTAGAAAATTGGGCAAGTTATGGTTATTTAAAAAGTACATGCACCATTAAAACAATGTTACGAGTGAGCGAGCTGCCTGTGACAAGATGGCCGCCAGGTGCGGACGTCGACCTCCATTGGCCAGCAGCGCGGACGAGACATCTAGCCTTTATTATGGATATCTATGTCCAGACCTGCCTAAAATGCCTCGATCGAAGCCCAGATTCCAGATATATTATTTCCGCAAACGTCTACGTCACAGTGTGAAATATTAGCACAATGCCCACCCAAAGGCAAATGAAAGAAGAAAAGGCTTTAGTGAATTATAGTGTTGTCACTATATTGTGAAGATGCTGTGGTTTCGATGCGAAAGCAAAACCCATTTATCCTTCCAAAAACGGATGAAATCAGGAATTGCAAAGTTGGTCCCCAATCGATCTGCATTTTCAGAATCTGACATGGGCCCTGATACGGTAAAACTGATGACATTATAAACCGTTTGTGTTTACAATTGGCTTTATGCACAGCTTCACTACTTCCTGAACTTTAGCCAGCTCCTTTGTTTCCTGTCTGCCATTATTATTGGTCAAACTGATTAATCCAGGTGTGCCTGGCCTCAGTAACAATAATCAGGCACACCTGGATTAATCAGTTTGTCCAATAATAATGGCAGACAGGAAACAAAGGAGCTGGCTAAAGTTCAGGAAGTAGTGAAGCTGTGCATAAAGCCAATGGATTTTGAAGCCTTGGAAGCTGAAGCTTGCGTTATGGGGTAAGGGATGTTACATTTCCACAAACGCTTGAGGTGTTTTGTTTGGCCAATCACGACGCACTGGGTTATCTGGCCTATCAGAGCACTCTGGGCTTTTTTTTTTGCAACCAGGGGCTTTGTAGAAATCAGATCTAGAATCAAAATAATAATAATTTACAACAAAAAAAAAAGGCTATTATTTTGCCACCAAATGTCAACGTTACTTTTTTTCAATGTGAATGTTTATTGCCTTTTTAGCCATGATTTTGTTTGTGCATAAATGTACATTAAAAAAAAATCTACCCTGAAAAATATTCACTCCCAATATATTTTATATATAATGTAGCCCCTATAATCCTACATAATGCAAACTGGCTCAATGAAAACACATCAAATCAGTTTTATTGCAACTTTAAAAGTTTATTCTTGTGGCGGTTTCTAAACATTGCTTCTGAACTGGGAGCGTCAGTTAAAATCATAGTCCGAGAACCAAAGGAACTGCATGCAACCATTGTAGCCTCCAGCTCCTGGGCGGATATGCCCGCAGGCGACTGGGTTCACTTAGTTAAACAGAAAGTAGAATGAACTAAGATCATACATAGGAGATAGGATTCAGCCTTTGGCACAATGAAAACAGATACCGAGGAAGGGTTTGACCTTTGGAACAGAAACAAATGACAACAACAATGTATTATTCATGATAACAGGCATACAACCAGTGACCGAATATAAAATTAAAACACAACTACAGCAGTTTTCTTATTTTCACAGGAAACCATTTATAGTATAAATGTTCTGAAAGATCTGAATTTGTAATTTCCTAGAAATTGCAATTAAAACGAGAAGGATTACAGAGAGACTGATGGAAAGCTCAAGAGAGAGGTATTAAATAAGAATCAAAAAACTCTGCAGAGGTAGAGTTCAGTGCACACGGCTAAAACACGCCACTCGCCTCGAGTTTACAACACCTTCTTCAGATCCAACGCTGGGCTGCTTGCTCACATGCTCACAGAAAATAAATAGAATAATACAATCTTCAAATGCTTTTAATCAGTCTTTCGATTTACGATTCCGTTTTCCTTCCCAAAGACACTTTCCTTGAATGTTTTCCCAGACTTCAAACCATTTCCAACACTCTTAAAATGTGCAGAGGGAGTCTAAAGCGCCGGGATTTACAAAGAACAGATCTTCCTTGAGAAGAACATCCTTCATCTTTAGGAAATAAACCAAAACAAACATCTGTGTTCACTGTCTTAGTTTCACGATTTGTCCAGAATGTTTGTCACAAGATGTGCTAAAAGTAATTCGACGCGAGTGCTGAATCTCACGAAACGGTAAAGAACATGTCTGGGTTATATTTCACTTCATACCCAAAAGAAATAAAAAATTATATATTGTATGAATAAGATAATTAAGCCTATTAACCACATTTCCCAGCCAAAAATGTTAATTCGTATGGAAACTTGTTTACGTCAAGTTTGTTTACGGCGACTTGAAATGTGAGATATAAACTCGCATTTGCGAGAAAAAAAAAAGTCAGTTTGTCTCGGAATTCCAACTTTTTTCCCTTCACAAGAAATTCTGTATTCTGATTTTTTTTCTCAGAAACTCACAATTGAGATAAAAAGTTGCAAAAATATGCATAATTATATATATATATGACAATTAATAAAATCTTATGGTCCTAAATTAGGCTTAATTGTGTTCATGCAAAATATAATTTCCTATTTTGTCTTTTGATTTAGCAAACAATGTATAACCTTCGCATGTCCAGTTGGATGTGTTAACATCACATAGCCGACTCACTGTATTGTATACAAAGACACAAAGTGTGCAGATTATATTAGATTAAACTATTTAAGTCAATTTGTTAAGACTTTGTTGGGCATTGGAGATATAATAAAAAAAAAAAAAAAATCTAGATTATAATCAAATGTACAAATTGATTATAAACAAACACTGCTTGAAAATAATGGCCATTTTGATGTCATCTGTAGCAAGAAGTATGGATCATTGCTGCTAAAATGAAAAGTTACATTCATGTCAACATAACCATGGAAAATTGCTTTACCACTTTTTGTGGTGCATAAAAAAAAGGTTTAACTCACCCTGGAAATTCAATTGAGGACAACAAAAGGAAACTCAATAACAGCGCTTTAAAACTGTGTCAGATCCCAGAAGATTGACTTATTCCTGACAAAACAACCAACATAATTATATTTT